AACTTTGAATCTAGTCACTTGATTCTATTCCACAAAGACTTGTAGAAGACCGTCATCTAGTTGTCTATGTCGTAGAAACATCAAACCAAACTCAAGATCCCACCAAGTGTGCCAATTTGTTTTCTGGAGAGAAAACCTGTATTGAATAAATATATTGCACCTTGACTTCTTTAGACAACAATTACTAAGACACAGCTCAAACCTCTTCAAACACAGTTCGAACTAGGGTGTTTGATTGATGGTTTCTGGGAAAGAAAACTAAGTTAAATTACCCCTATTCTTATAGAGGTTTAGTGAGAGCTCCAAACTAAAAGCTACGTCAATGGCTACATGATAGAGAAAAGGTAAAAAGATAAACTTGACATGTGTGTCAGTTGTGTGGTTTTGGGAACCCCTGTCTCTGTCGACCCCTCCTCCTATTTATAGTCACGAAGAGGTAACCTTCCATAAAAAATTGTTTGTTGGATAACTACTACAAAGAACCGCTCCCCCTTCTTCAGAGTGGTGGTTACTCCTTCAACCGCCTAGGTTCCTCTCTTAAAACTGTCATGAGTCTTGAAGTGTAGCTTGCCTCGCCTTGTTTTATCCAAGATCTCGTGCTATGCTAGACTTTTGATAAGTATGTGGTGCTTCACAAAGGAGGTCGTGGTCCTCTTGCCTCATGGACATAGACTTCTTACTCATGTCTATGGCCCTCTTGGGACTTAGGCATTAGTGATATAATGTTCCACCACCACGGCCTCATTATTCGTGTCCATGGCCACTCTCATGAGATGGCATGGACCTCTCAATCATGCACATGGCTCATCTCGTAAGTCGTCATGGTCTTTCAGACTTAGTATTTTTTTCAATCGTGTCTAATGCTTCTTGCTTCGCGTCCATGGCCATCACATGACACGGCCATGGACCTCTTAATCATGCACATGTCCCTTCTCGTGAGGCGGCATGGCCTTCTCAGACTTAGTATTTTTCAATAGTTCCTTCTTGTCTCGCGTCCATACCTCTTCTCGTTAAGTGCCATGGACCTCTCAAACTTAGAATATTTTGGGTCGTTTGGTCTTGTTCATGAGGCGGCATGGCCTCTTCATTCGCGATCATGGACTTCTCGGTCATGTTCGTGACCCTTCCCGTGACACGACATGGCCTTCTCATACTTAGCGTTTTTCAATCATGCCTATGCCATCTTGTCTCGCGTCCATGCCCCTTCTCGTGAAGCGGCATGGACCTCTCAGACTTAGTAATTTTTGTCTTCTTTGAGATAGGCTTCTCATGGCATGATTATGTGACTTGAGAAATTTCCCAAGCCCGTGGTCCCTCTCGTTGACATGGCACATGCTTCTTGATTGTAGACGCCCATGACCCTCTTCGTGAAGTGCCACGTGGTTCTAGATTCTAGACGGACATGAGACCCTTCCCGTGACACGACATGGCCTTCTCATACTTAGCATTTTTCAATCATGCCTAGGCCATCTTGTCTCGCGTCCATGCCCCTTCTCGTGAAGCGGCATGGACCTCTCAGACTTAGTAATTTTTGTCTTCTTTGAGATAGGCTTCTCATGGCATGATTATGTGACTTGAGAAATTTCCCAAGCCCGTGGTCCCTCTCGTTGACATGGCACATGCTTCTTGATTGTAGACGTCCATGACCCTCTTCGTGAAGTGCCACGTGGTTCTAGATTCTAGACGGACATGGCCCTCCTCGTTGAAGCAGGCACGTCCTTCTCCATACTTTAATTTATTTTTATACAATATCGTGGCATGGCATGACATGGCCTTCTACGAGAGGCCCATGTCCGTCATTGACTCATGTCCATGCTCACTAATGACTTAGTGGCTTGGGCTTAAAATCTAGTACCATACGGCCCAACTTAAATAACATTAATTGTTATTATTGATCAGGCTTTATAAAGACAGTTAACGCCTTGTAAATAATCAATGTGGTACAAGGTTATTTTTAGGTGTAAACACATACCAAAATAGTTTTTGAAATATGTGATTATGCACAACACCCTGGTGTTGAACCAGATGGAATCCGACTAAGTTTTTTTCCTTTTACCATCTGGGGAAAGGCAAAGAGCTGGTTAAATCTCCAACCTCCAGGTACCTTCCATATGTGGGACGATCCGGTCCAAGATATCATAGAAGAGTTCTTCCCTCTGTGAGAAAACCAACGATTTAAGAGACCATATTTCTTGCTTCAAGTAGCATACTTCTAAATCTCTGTATGAGGCTTACCAGCGAATCTAATAGCTTCTTAGAGCATTGCCCTCACCATGGATTTGGGCAAGAACAAATCGTGGATATTTTGTGAAAGGTTTCGATCTAAATACTTTGCATCCATGGCGACTAAAGGTGTTGGTAAATCAAACGACCAAAGGTGTTGGTAAATCAAACAACCAAAGGTGACGTAACTCAGAATGAGTTTTGCACAAGCTCTGGAATACTTTGCATCCATGGCGACTAAACCTTGAAAATTGGTCTAGGAGATATGCTCCTGTGGTTTTGAGATGGCACAATAATAGAAAGATCCTTAAACGCCATTTGTAAATTGAGGAGTTGAGAAGGCCCACGATTCGAGGTGACAAGAAATCTGCCAGCAACACAAATATATGTATGGGAGTGGTGTGGTGAGATGATCGAGTGGGGGAAAACTGTGGGACAATAAGGGGTCGTTTGGATGAAGCATTCTCAAAATGAGACAATCTTGAACAAAAGACTCATTTTAGGATATGAGTCAATTGATTGAAGAAATCTGCTAAGAATATATCGTTTGGATTAAGTTGTGAGATAAGTGAGTCATTTTGGGTAAATACCAACTTACCCCTATCTTCTACAAGTTTCCCACCCCTGTTTTGCTGCAAGTTTCCCATCCCTATTTCTGGGTTTTCTTTCACTGTAAATCTCAGGAAATCCCCTAGAAGTCACCATCTATAAGTGGTATATAATCTATTTCTTCTGCAAATTTCTCGTCCAGCTCCGACGAGCTTCTATTTTACAAGGATAGATTCTTTGTACAAGTGGGATTTCATATACCCATAAACAAAATCGACAATTTTAAGGATCATAACCGAAAAACCAACAAAATCGAGGCAGAAAAGAGAGGTTTAAGCTTTGATTGCAATTCCAATTTCTCCATGACTCTTAAAGGTCTGGCAGAAACTGCCGGAGATTTGAATGAAGAGGAGGAAAAAGGCATGGAAAGAACAAGAAGACGTTTGTCTTGCCGCAAATAGAACGGGAAAAAATCTACTTGTCGGCTTGAACTCCTTTGTTGACTTAAGCGGAAGTGGTCGCGACGGGTCTGGGTGTCGGGGACGCCATTGCCTGTTGCGCATAAGCCTTCAATTGTGGTTCAACTGCGATGGTGAGATACTTCTTCTTCTCTTGAAAACCCACATGCAACAACCCCAAAGTCCCAGATCGAGCAACGAACCCAGTTTCCCTCTCTCTATGCTTGTCATCACTTTGAGAACCTATTGATTATAGTCGCCGGAAAATATTTCTTATTGGCCCCATTCTGCAATTTTTCTCTGCTTCGCTAAGAGAAAGGGGAGAGATAATAAGAAGGTTAGAGGTGACTAGTGAGAGAGATGGGGAAACGAGAGAGAGAGAGAGAGAGAGAGGAAAAAGAGGGTTAGATCAGGTAAACAGACAAAAGAATGAGGCAATGTACAATTCCTCCCCCCTACCCAGGTAATTAGAATTGACCCATAATGAGCTAATGCCAATTTTCCCATGTCTAATTGCCTCATTCTGATTTTTTATTGCCAAATGGATCAATTTAGCCCAATTGTCTCATTTTGAGTCAATTGGGACACATTGTTCCATGAGAATGCTCCATCCAAACAACCCCTAATAAGTGAATTCCAAAGGACAGATGTCGACTATATTGGTCAAAGTTATCCACAGAATCGCGATTTCAATCGCAATAGCTACCACTATAATGGGAATCCATATCAAATGAATGCCCATAGGAGCTCTAATAATCGTATGAACAACAATTATAGGAGTTCGTCGTCACTAGGAAGCTTGAGTTTCGTCGAGGAATGCTCGCCTAGGAATGCGGAGGGAGGGAGATCGTCGATCGCGATGGGATTTCAACCACATCCTCCGTCATGATCGAAAGGCAAAGAGATGTAGGTGGGAAGACGGAGAGAAGACGAGGAAAAGGACGAGTGGTCAACTGAGTCCTTTTATGTTTTTTTTATTTTTTATTGTCATTTTTCATTTTTTTCTTTTAATCCACGTGGATTGGTGAGGACAAAATATCACAAATCCAGTCATACTGTTAAGCAGGGGCGGACGTAGGGCACTTTGGGGTGTCTCGGAACACCCCTAAATTTTGGAAAAACGATTATCCAACTGCCGGTTGTAATTTACGTATGGATAAAAAAATTATAATTGATAGTGGAGGACACCCCTGAAATTAAAAAAAATTATTATTTTACTCTCATTTTCTAGTTTGCGTATGAGAATATAAGTGATAGTTTGGATAATTCAAACCTAGGACACTATTATTAATAATAAATATAATTATCATTAGGCTACATTTATTGTTTGATTTTAAACATTGTGTAATAGTAAAATGTCATTCCCTATGACCTATCTCTAATTATTTTCAAAACCTAAAAATTAAACTAATTTCAACCTACCCTTAATTTGCATTGATTTTTTTGGTTGTACGACAAGTGTTGACAGAGTCTTTCAGCTTTGGGTTACATCAAGAACAAGTTTAGAAATCGAATATGGGATCAATTCGTGAATGATTGTCTAGTAGGATATAAGAGACAATTTTATTGAGTAGTGTAGACACCAAGTGTATTGTACAATTATTTCCGAAAATGAAAACATATCGTAGACTTTTTTAGCTAGTACGAGTCATGAATTTTCTTATTTAAGAATTATTTAATCTATTTTTTAAAAGAGGACACCCTTATGTAAAATTTATGGGTCTGCCACTGCTGTTAAGTGACACCGTTAAAACTTAAAAGGAAGAATAGAAGTAGCTATTTTGTGTATTTCGAACGTTTAACTATAACTGTCTCAAACAGTAAAATTATGTCTATGATACTCAAGCCCGACCCAGGCCCTGTACTGACCTGATCCACAACACAGGGGTTCAAAATATTGGGGGCCTCAAGTACTTGGCCCATACAATAAATATATACATTAAAAAAAATTAGTTGTGCAAACACGAATCGGCAGAGAGGCCTTTGCTCACCCAGTCGCCTGCGCCTCTTTTTTTCTCTTCCCCCATTCCCAAAAACATTCATTGATTAATTCCTTTCCCCAAATTCTCACCTTCCCAAAGAAGCCAACGTCTCTACTCTCTAGCCAGCATTACTTTTCGACTCTTTATAAATCATAATCAACGTCTAACGTCTTTAATCAATCATTTCCCCTTTAAATACTCGGCCATTTTTAGGTGAAGCAAAGCATCCCCTCTTTTTTCATTCTACCGACGAAATAATCCCCTCCTAGCTGAAGCAGCTGAAGAAATCAATCCAGCAATCCCTTATTCTGACTTCCGACTGATTTGGTGGACGGTGGTTCCGCTCCGGCACTCCCGCAGTCCCGCTCGGCGCTCCTGCAATCCCGCTCGGCGCTCGCCTTCTAACCCTGGTTTCGACTTGGCGACTGATGTCTCTCCACCGTGGTTCGGTAATCTCCTAATCGGTAAGAATTTCGTGACCGTACTTGAATTTGTGTATTTCTTGCGTGTTGTCTGCTTGAGTCTGGAGACTCTGTTCTTCTTCATACTCTGCTTCAGTTAAGCTTGTTGCTTGGAGTTGGAGATGGCCGAAATAGTGAAATTGGAATGGGTTATGGGCTGGCCGAAATTTGAATGTGCTACCTATTGCCTAATTTGTTTTGGGCCGAAATTGGGGAGGGAGTTTCTGCCTAACTTGTTTTGAAATGGAAATTGAAATGGCTGGTCGAAATTCTAACCAATTTTTCTTTTTTCTTTTGCAGGGATTTTGATTGGAAATTTGGATTAGTTAGACTGCCGAGTGGAATCATTAATTTTTTGTAACAATTTTTGATTGTCAACTAGAAAATTTGAATTTGATTACTTTTCAAACAATTATTTATAAATTATTCCTATTCTTATGATAAATTTACGGAGAAACCATTTTAGGGCCACATTTTTTATTTTCGAACAGGGCCTCCGAATATAGTGGGCCAGCTCTGATGATACTATATTTTGCTGGTTTTTTTCCTTTTTCCTCTAGTGTTAGCACCATAACAATACAATCAGCTCTTGCGAACATGGTAGCGTGACTGCGTGAGAGGCCCTAGTCAAGTATTTATTGTCAACTTCGGAAGTAAAGAAAGCAGCTGAACTTGATCCGTTTCCCAAGATTAAGATTAGGGTATGCTACAAAATCTCATCGAATCAAATCGACACTTAAACCAAATCAATTTTAAATTGACACTTGGACTCAACCATATCGAACCAAATATAATTTGATCCGGTTCAGTCCTTGATCTCATAAATATTATAAATACTGAAAAATGAGCTGAATTAACATTTAAATCGAACCAAACCTAACCAAATTCACTATTGATTTTATCCATGATTCTAAGATGTTTTTCACTATTGGACCATGATTCTTTGACCTGGTCGATTGCAAACCCCTACCTAAGACATAACATAGTAAAATTATTCATCCATTCATTTCTTGATAAGGCGAGAATAGAGCCCATGAGAAAACCCAGTTTGGCTTGATGCTTGAACTGACAATCAGAAAGGTTGAACAGATGGGAGCAAATACTATCTCACAAGCCAAATAGAAATTTCAAAGCATCCAACAGTCTACTATAAAATAAACACTAGCAGATAAAAGGAAAGTCTGACATAAGAGTATATAACACGCTACAAAACCCTCCCTAGTATACTATCCATAGCATTTAGCAAGGAAAACACACCACCAAGGCAGGGCAGAGGTTAGTTGATCATCTGAAGCGCAAAGCAATTGCGTTCAGTATCATCAACTCTTAGGAGATGCTTTTGCAATTCCACTTTGTTGCACAGGCTGGGATGGTGGTCCAGGCGGCGGCGCTGATACTGCCGCTGCAGTTGCAACTCCTGCAGTGGAGCTAAGATTGCCATCAGTAGGGTACCCTCCTGGCTGTTGACTACTATAAGGGGCGCCGTAAGGAGGACCATATCCTGGTTGACTCGGAGCTAGAGGTGCCCCATACGATGGACCATATCCTGGCTGTGCAGCAACAGCACTGCCATAACCCGACGATTGTGCTGGCGGAGGCAGTGGCGGCTGTGAATTTGGATATCCTCCTGGCTGAGGAACCGACTGGCTGTATGAGCCTCCTCCAGAAGGTGATTGTTGTTGTTGGGCGGTTTGCCCATAAGCAGATAATGGGTTCGCCACTTGAGGCTTCTGTGCTGGAGGAGGTCCATAGCTAGATCCGTATCCAGGTTGAGCTGTTAGATGATGACTCCCGTAGCCAGATGGTTGTGGCATCACATATCCTCCTGATTGACTAGTAGCTCCCTGCGGAGGGTTGTAACTTGCTGGATTTGGGACAGAACCATAGCCTTGCTGCTGAACCGCAGAAGACGGTTGAGGAGCCGACTCTCCTTGTCCACCACCATAGGAGGAACTGTGGCCTTCTTGACCATAGCTGGGAGCAGTAGTATAGCCCCCCTGCTGCTGCTGCTGCTGATCATATGCTTGTGGCTGGCCATAACCCGACTGAGGATATCCACCATACCCATCTTGACCATAACCTTGCCCTTGTTGATTATAACCCGAGTGTGGCTGCTGACTGTTGTAACCATAGCCACCAGAATTTTCTGCCGCCGCTGCTGCTGCCGCAGGTGGCGGTGGACCACCAGAGGCTGGTGGTTGCTGTGAAGACGGTGGCTGACTATAGTAATCATAACCTTGACTCGTCGGCTGAGTTGACTGGTCCCATCCAGCAGGGTACCCACCAGATGATGGCTGAGTAGTATATCCCCCATATGGTGGCTGGGGCATATTGTACTGTCCCGATGCGCCTGCATATGGCTGCCCGTACCCACCATATCCTGGTTGCTGCGCTGCCCCACCAGGCGGGCCCCAGTTTGCAGGTGGTCGTGTTTGATAACCTTGCTGAGCATATCCTCCACTCATTGATGAATTCCTCATGCGATTCTACAAAAAAAAAAAAATCCCAATACAAGATGAATGACGAGAAATTCTCAAGATTAATGCATACAGGCTATATGTGAAACAGATATAAGATTGCTATATAACAAACTAGGAGCAAAAACCAAGTGCGACATCAAGAAATCTCAATAAAACAGCATAATAAACAGCCAACTTCCTTACACAGGGCATGAATTTCATATTCCATTATGAAGGGGGTAGGATTACCTACATACCGTACTTCGTTGGTGAAGTTACTCCAGCAGAAGCTCACACTCTCCCTACTTTAAAAATGAATACGCGCAAAAAATATACAAATACACAAAATTTCCGTCTGCAAAAATAAGGTGGTCCATGTGGCAATGACCCTCTATCGATTTTGATATGATACAAAAAAAATTATTCACTCACGCTACCAGACTATGGCACATTATATTTAGTTCCACAGAAAAGTACCAAAAGAGTCCATCACCACAGTATCTCCAAACTTCGGAAACCCAGTACAGCTTATGCTGTTCTGAAATACTATTTACAAACAGAAAGGAAGAATTCTAAAAGTATGGTAGTATACAGACAAAAAAATCCTTCCACATGATTGACCACAATCCAAGTACAGGACAAGCAACCTGAAGCAAACCTCAAAGCGACAAGCTAATCTAATAGCAGACATCATGTCAACTTGAACACGAGAATAAGTAGAATATACCAATGACTAATAGAAATTAACGAAATGACAACATTTACATTCACTTGCCAAGAAATCAATGATTATAATGAAACTGGGGGCTAACAGAAGGTGAAGCAAGTCATAATTCACGACTAAAGGGAATTAGAGAAAGCGAGGCCTATGCAATACAGGAAGGAGGGTGATCAAAACCTAATCACTTATCAGTGGGTAGTTTTGTAACGACCACTAAGAACCAAGTAAACCAGAATAACAAATGAGGTGACCAGTCATGGAGACCAAGGGATGGAATTTACAGGACATATTAGCCAGCATGAACAAGTTAGTAATATAACAGAGGGACAACTACTAAACAAAGAAGAGCTAATGCATGTTCCGGGATAAAAAAAATTCCCAACCTAGCAACATATCTTCAGATGCTACATATTATTGGCAGGGTTGAGAACCATACCAGGGTAAGGTCGCTGGCATAACCAACAGAAAGAATTCTGTATTGGTTTCAACAGTAACCTAACAGCAGTTCCAGCAATGGAAGCGATATGACACACTGGCAAAGCAAAATAAGGAAGCAGAAGAAACTACTAACCAGAACTATTCACTTGGGCACACATCCAAGGAGACAAATCAACCCTTCAAAATATCTCAAACAAAATCTATCACTTCAAATGCTCGACATCTAATCTTCAGTAATGCATTTGCAGCTTAAAGACAACAATATCATAATCACTACACGCTTGGCAATTCTCAAAAACTCACTTGACCTCAAACTATGGTGTCTTAATTCTTAACATATAACTACCGTGTAGGTCCAGATCTGTAAGAGATTTACAGCACAGATCATTAAGGACATTCAGCAGTTTGCAAGTCACAAACAAATGAAGTACATTAGTCACATAAACTGGCATTTTATCTATGCAAGACTATCAAGCAGCAATATTGCATTGTCACGATATAAAAGTGTAAAATTAAAAACTCATAAGAACCAATGAGATGGAAATTAAAAGCTATGTATCATTCTTTCACTCCTTTCCAGGCTGACAACGACAAAAGCTAAATATGAAGCTCAATCCACAACTTTCTGAATCTTGAAAAGTTAAAAGCATTTGCAATAAAATGGCTAATAATAAAACCAACTCTACAAACAGCAGGTATGAAAAGATTAAGGTCCAAACAGATAGCAATCTACAAGTAGACATGAAGAAATACAGAAAGAATCATCAATGCATATCATTTCCATGATATAAAACCAAGTTAAAAGCAAAATATCATTCTTTCAAGTATTTTCCAGGCTGACATTATCAAAGCTCAATATGCAACTTTCTGAATCTTGAAAAGTTAAAAGCATTTGCAACAACTGAAATTGTAATCCATTTTCAAAGTGAACAGCAATTTATGGTTAATGCCTTGACAATACTGAGCACAAAATGTAAACAGCTAGAAGAGATATCCAATACCATTAAGTTGGCTAATAATAAAGCCAACTATATGTACAGCGGGTATGAAAAGGTTAAGGTCCAAACAGATACTTAGGTAGCAAGCTATAAACAGACATAACAAATTATACTTACAACTCATCAATGCATATCATTTTCAATGATACTAAACCGACCCCGTTAGAAGGATACATAACACGTTATACTTTAACTGAAAAATAGAGAACCCATAATTTCTGCTAGTATAGTTATAAAGTACATCTTCAAGAACATTTCAAATTGTAAAGGAAGATGTGAACTTGCAAGTACATTAATCAGATTTTCAGGTAAATTATGAAGACATCATATTGCTGTGACAAACAGTGAACAATCAAAAGAATAGGCGGGAGTTCTCCTTCAATGGCCAGGAAAACAACAACACATACCTCACTGATCACTTCATTGACCAACTGTTTTGCGGCCTCAACCTGGTCACTTGTTCCATCTATATGTACATTCCTATCTGATGTGGTATCACCAGGGGGGAGATGCAAAGGTATCACCTGCCAGAATTACAGGCCTCTAATTCAATTGGACTTGCATAAAGCCAAATGAAACCATATACAGAATAACAATCGGTTGAAATGCAATCAAAAGAAAGCACAAGAAAGTAGCCAAATTCAAATTCAATTGGACTTGCACAAAGCCAAATGAAGCCATGTGCAGAATACCAATGGGTTGAAATGCAATCAAAAGAAAGCACGAGAAAGTAGACATATTCTAAGTTGTACCTGAATGCGAGCACCAGTCCTAGCTTGCATGCTCTTAATTGTCTCGCCTCCTTTGCCAATTACCAGACCAACCTGCAATCATGTGCACAATGCAACCAATCTGCACTAAAGCAACTACAAGAGCATTCAACAGTAACAAAGCCCACATACCTTGTTATTCGGGATTTTCATGACAAAATGATCACCACCGCCGCCCCCGCCCTGTCCCCCTTGCCTTCGAGAAACTGTACCAGAACCTCCAGCATCAGCCTGTGTAAAATATCCAACATCTTAGCTGGTAACAAGGCGATTCTCTTTTCAGCAGGTTTCAGCATCAATAGCACAGTATAAAAATTGATACAGGAATCAAATGGAAGCGTATTGCTAAGCATGGCAGAACTACTTAGCCATTTGCAGAAAACTAATTTAAAGCGAAACCTGCAACTCTTGTCAAGCAGAGCCTTTCAGCTGGTTTCAGCATCAATAACGCAGTATAAACAATCGACGCAAGGAATCCCATGGAAGCGTATTGCTAAGCATTGCAGAACTACTAAGCCATTTTGCAGAAAACTAATTTAAAGCGAAACCTGCAACCCATGTCAAGAAGAGCCTACCTCAGCAAGAACATCATTAATCAACCGTTCTGCTGTTTCAATTTGTTCCGGAGTACCAACAAGCTCTACAGCTCTAGTTGGCGAATTGGGGTCAGCATCCAGATCTCGCGTTACTTGAATCTTCGCCCCAGATTTTGCTTGAAGAAATTTGATAGTCTCTCCACTTTTGCCAATGATAACTCCAACCCTTCCATTTGGTATTTCAATTCTTTTGCTTGTACCGCCCATAAAAGAACCATAGGAAGCAGGAACGCTCGACGGAGCTGATTTGACACAAGGAACAGATACTATAGTTGATAAATTCCGAAACAAGACGCAATAACAATGAATTCAAGATAGCTATCGAAACAATAGAGTCAACCATGCGTACCAGAGCTAAACCCCTTTTCGTTGGAATCAAAACCGCTGCCCCCATTCTCAACTCTAGGACGCTTATTATCCACAGGAGCGCCTCCAGCGGCGGCACTCAAGAAACGCGCGGCGATCTCCTGAGCTTTCTGCTTGGCCATCTGGATCTCATCGGCAGGAGGCGGGACATTATTGTAAGAAGGAGGGGGGGCTGAAGAGTCCGGCGAAGAGAAACCCGTGTGGCGACGACCAGTGGTCAATTGGTCATCGTATTTGCGCTTGTTAGGAGTGACGGTGGCCGTTCCGGTGTCCGCGGTGGAGTAGTGGGACTGGGATTCGTCGGCCATGTCTGAGCTCGTAGAAAGAGAAGAAGTCAAGAAACCCTAGAGATAAATGAGAGGACAGTAAGTGTGAGGAAACGGAGGGCGTTTTAGATTGGAGCAGAACGACACGCAAGACGCAACGCAAGCGAGTGCAGATAAGCTGGAGACGACTCGGGTTTAACTTGTAAGTTTTAACCATGGTTGTCATGCTAGTGGTACTTAGAACCGGATTCAACTAGTACATATTAGAAAATCGGTCGAAATGTTCTCGGCAAGGATTGAAATACCGTATCGTATTGGCGGTTCGACCAGAAAATATCATATTGTACCAGCGGTATTAAGCGGTTGAACCATAGTTAAACCACGGTTTTACCATAAAATACTCTATTGCTGACTTTTCCAGTACAACCTCCGGTACGGTATTTCAATATTTGGTTCTCGGTATGATCGATTTTCGATCTTTAAAGTTTAAACAAATAATGTCATTTTGGTGAATTTAATTGAGGGTAAATGCCACATTTGGTCACTGAGTTTATTAAATTATGTCATGTTTAGTCACTAGAAAAAATTATATCAATTTTAGTCACTCGAATTACTGAAATATGTCACATTTAGTCACTCTCTTGTTTCAGTAATTCGAGTGAGGAGTGACTAAATGTGACATGTTTCAGTAATTCGAGTGACCAGAGTTGGACGAAGGCTGACAGGAGAGTGACTAAATGTGACCTGTTTCAGTAATTCAAGTGACCAAAACTGATATTAAATTTTTTTAGTGACTAAACATGACACGATTTAGTAATCTCAGTGACCAAATGTGGCATTTACCCATTTAATTGATAAAGAAAATAATGATTGATTTGTCTCTTTGAGTTGAAAGTTAAGTGTTGATGTTATTTATTGGATTCAAGTATGAATATTTAGATGTTTATGTTATCTGTTGGATTTAAATATAAATTTTTGGATGTTGGCGTTCAATGTTGCATTTAAATATGAATATTTTTCATTTTGTTTAAAATGCTATATTTTATTTAAATATGGATGTAGAATCTGCATTAATGTTGGTCGTTGAGATGGACGTGGACGGTGGAGATTGCTGGTGTACGACATACCCCAATATATGTCTGATGTATGATAGAAGTCACCATATATATGGTGCCTTCTACTGTACTTCGGGTGAAATCCTGGGTACTGCATACCTTGAGTATGAAAACGCTATCTAGACCTCGAATTAACATGATTTTTGGGCATGATACTATACCCTAACCCTATTGAGTGAACCCTAGGTTCTAATTATCTAAATCATAAACTATAAACCCTAAAATGGTGCATTCATTTTTTTGCCTATATTTGGACGAATCATAACCGTCGATGATTGTTTCTAATTAAATTGATCTTAGGGGTATACGATTTAGAGAAATAAGACCTAGATTTTGATCTTCAAGGGTTAGAGTATAATATCATATCTGAAAGATCGGTCAATTCAAGGTCTGGATAGTGTTTTCATACTCAAGGTATGTGGTACCCCGGATTTCACCCAGGGTATATATATCTCATATAGGCGTACCCTAGCCTTTGCTATATATAGTGACTACTTCGGTCCACTCACTTTTTTGGGTGCATTGAACTCTAATAGTGGCCTTAATTCATTAATTTTTGAACTTTAATTGGTAGTAATAGTCTAATGTGATGATATAACATAGAAACACAACTAATCAATCTATTAACCTAACCCCTTAACCTTTAATTCTGAATCCCAACCCAAAACCCTAAATTGTAAACCTGAACCCTAAATCCTTCAAATTAAAGTAAATCTTGAATGAGTTCTTTTACACATTCATGTGTTTTTTGTTCATATTATCACAAGCGACGATTGATACCGTTTTGACATGAACCACATGCTCGGAATGACGATTATGAGGAGAGTGCATTGAATGCACCAAAAAATGTGGGTGCACCGAATACTGCATTATATATATGGTGGCGTCTTCAGTGCACTCACTTTTGTTTTGGTGCATTCAGTGCACTCGCTTCATAACCGTCATTTTAAACATGTGATTCATGTCAAACTGATGCCAATCATCACTGATTATGTGATGAACAATAAAGAACATGAATTTTCACAAATACAATTCAGAGATTTACTTTAATTTGAAAGATTTAGAGTTTAGAGATTTAGGTTTAGGGTTTGCAATTTGGGGTTTAGTGATAGAATTCAAAATTGGAGGTCTAGGGGTTAGGGTAATCCATTAATTAGTTGTTATCATGTGTTATATAATCATATTACACTAATTCTACAAATTAAAATTCAAAATCCGACACCTTAAGACTAGTTTTTGAGTTGGGTGCATTGAACGCACTCATTTTTGTGAGTGCACCGAAGTAGTCACCTATATATAATAAGTACTACTAGTAGTGCTAGAGTAATTAACATACGGAAAGTAAAAAGAAAAGGAAATGATAATAAAACATTTTTAATTGAAATAAAGAAAAGCAAAGAAAAAGAAAAGATAGAACGTAGACCCTGGATACCTAGAATTCATTCCTCCTCGGAGGGTCCTTCTTCTTCTTCGTCGTATAGAAGTGTTGGAGAGGTGAAGCGGTTGAATGTATCAGAATGTTCATCTTCTCCATGATCGTGTGGACGCACGCCATGATATGGAGCCGCGCTTCCTTCTCCCTTCGTTGGTTGTGAAGGATAACCACTATCATCGCCTCAATCCTATAATCTCTTGCATTGTTGCTCGGTGGGTGAATCGGTTGAAGAGTGGGAATATGCGCCTCTCCTCCTTCATGCACACTTTCTTCTTGATCTTCCTCGGTTGCTAAACCTCTTCGTTCCCTTGCCTTTCTAACTTCCGGAAGATGGAAAATTGTCCCCTCCGTGTCCAAACTATTGGTGGTTGGAAATGGGAATCCTCGAACCCCCCAAACGCCATCATTGCTCAACATCAACCCAAAGGGTCTAGTAAGGTGGCTAAGGCAGAGGATTAGGAGACCCCTTGCAAGCCCGCCAAGGCAGGACATGTTGAGAGGGTACCATCCGTTGTTAAGTTGAAAAATTCAAAACCAACACTAATAGAGTCATCTCATCTGAAAGAGGGGAGAAAAGTAGTGTATGGATGGTTAGTCTGGTTTAGTCCATGGACTTGTCAGTGGGTGTACACCTTTGGCACGTTAGTGGTTGCCAAAGGATATGAGAATCAATGACGTCTGTCCCTCTTTTATATTAAAATAATTATAGAAATTAAAAATAAAAAGAGTAAAATCATAGTTGAATCATGGCTAACAATGACGAAGTGGCATGTTGAGTGAGAGTTGAAACACTTCCGATATGAGGACCTCGACATGATAGGTCAGCAACAAGTAGGGATGACAACAAAACCCGAACCCACCGGTACCCACCCGACCCAATCCGGTCAATGTGGGTAAAATTCGTGTTGACGGGTTTTGGGCCGGGTTTGGGTTTAGACCTGTTCACTATTCACTGGGTTGGGTTGGGTTTGGGTTTAGGTAAACTCGCCCCATGGGTACCCGCCCACACCCATATAATTAATTTTCTTGGTATATTTAATATTCTAAACAACTAATCTTATTTATGCTTGTGGAGACATATCTAATTTTTTCTTTTTAATTGTGTAGAATGAAGTTGATGTTATCAGTGGAGAGTGAAGAAACTTAATTGACAAGGAGGAAGAAGCTTTCAATTAATCATGTTATTTATGGATAATTTGTGATTTGCTTCAATTTTCTTGAGTTTTCTAGATTGGCGTTGAACAATTTGTATAGTTAATTTGTGATTTGCTTGAATTTTCTAGAATGGTGTTTTATATATGGATAATTTGTATTGAGAGATTGATATTTGACTTTAATTTTGATAGGAACTTGTTATTGTAAAATTTTTAAGACAAAACCCGTGGGTACCCATGAACCCGCGGATACCCAATGGGTTGGGTTTGAGTTTCTCATACCCAGTGGATTTTACTCCGGGTTTTTTTTATGAATAAACCCATGGGTTTGGGTTTGGCAAAACCCGACCCAACCCGACCTATTGCCATCCCTAGCAACAAGTCATGTGGTTGGGTCTATGGAGCCCATACACTCCTTTGGTTGCTTGGTACATCATGCCACTTACATGACATGAGCAGCTGATTGGGTGTCTGATGTAGACCCTTTATCGTCCAGACCACCATTAAGGAAGCTTACTTGTTGAAAGAGGATGGGGTGATACATGATCGACTGATCAATGACAAGTATCTCAAGCCCTACATCTCTTCTTTTTGCGACGTGGGGTGTTAATAGGTTCAATGTTAACCAGCTACCATGATGGCCGGCATGCCAAGCCTCCCACACCCTAAGCCATGGCATGATACCATCTTATGAAGCTTGACTTGAATAGCTAGCCATGACACGGAGATGGACCAATTCTGAGTGGAAGGAGATGAACCATCTTGTTGGATAGTGTTGTGGTCGTGAGGCCAAGAGTAACTAAGTGGGAAAAGAGACGAATTTTTAGTACCAAATACGAGATAGATCTTCCAAAGAACAGGGCTTTTCTCGAATAAGCCAATTCATTTGGTCGTGCAGACAATAATTTTTGTTTTCCTTGTTCCGGTCGTGTATTGCCAACACTGGCACGCAAAGGAAGCAAAGTAAAAATAAATAACGGGTGGAATTTGGTTAAGTCCTTTGTCGTTTAAGGGGAGAAAGAAAGAGGTTAATTACTTGAAGAAAAGAAAACTCTTCTCTTTCTCGAGCAGCTCGTCCTCAATAGTAGGGATGGCAGGCCCGGGCCCGTTAGCGGATACCCGCCCGAGGCCCGCCCGTTAAGGGCCCAAGCGGGCTGGTAGCACAGGCCCGTCAACGGGTGGCGGGGAAACCGGGATCCGTCAACCCTGGTTTTCGGGTGGGGCTGGTTTGGCTACTATCCGCCCCGTAACCCGCCCGGCGGGTTACCCGTGCACCAAAAACGACGCCGTTTCGCCCTCCATATATATATTCATGTTCTGTGTTGAGAAACCCTAGCAGCCGCCCCTCATTCCTCATTTTCCAATTCGCAGACCAAAAGTCCCAAACCCTAGTTTCCTTCTTTCTCTCTGCCTCTTCTCTGGCGAATCGCAAGATAATCGCGATTTTTTGCCTTTTCTCCTCTTCAAATTCTCAAATCTCTCCTAGTTTCACTACGATCTATCTTCGATTCCTCCATTCGACCAATTGCATGGCTGGAAGAGCAACGATCCGACGCCGATTTCGTCGAGCACAGCCCAAAAATGAGTCGTTTGGAGTTCAAATCCCTGATTGTTCGTCGATAACAGATAAGTCAATTCTGGATTTTTTCTTTTCTTTCGATTATCTTCGTTGTATCCTCAATCTACTGACTCTTGACACTCGTACTGCTATATATAGGGGGATTTCAGAGGTCATTCCTCACCAGTCACCATCCTTACCTTCGCTAAATTTCTACCCAGAACACCCAGTCCACAGAGAGTAGAGACAGAGAGATTGCGACGAGCATCCAGAAAGAGTCCAAGTCTTTTTTTGGGTAAGGATCTTGAACTCGCGACCTTTTCCTGGGTTTGTGCCTTTGTGGTGTACTGGTGTTAATACAGACATGCATGCTTGTCTCCTGTTCTAATTTTTTTTTGTTCGTTGTTCACTCTTTTTTGGCCAGGTTGGACTCATTTGAAGCTGTATTGAAGGACTGAACTCTGACGAGCAACTGAGCGAGTGATACTGATCATCAGTGATCAGTCTACTGTCATTGGGTACTCGACAGTCCTCAGAAAAACAGAAAGACAAGGTAATCTCGTTCTCCTAAGTCGTAACCAGTAGGCAGTAACCATTGTGTTTGTTGTGTTGCTTTGACTTGTTAATGATAATAAACTGTAATGGTAACCACTATGGCTTGCTAATGATAATAACTTAGTTAGAAGACGTAAACTGTAATGGTTAAATTGTTGAAAATGGTATCCTGTTTGCTGGTTAGAAGAAAAAATGTTGTCTGGTTGAAAATGGTGTCCATTTAAGTAAGAAAAAATGTAAAATGAAAGGTCTAATCAGTGATATATAACTTGATTATGTTCAGATGGAAGGTGCTACTGCTAATGCTATGAATGTTGATCAACATGTCCCTGAAAATGGTGTCCAAGTCCAACCTGAACAACCTCCTCCTGTTCCAAATAATCCGATTAATGGTAATGAGGAAGAACTTGAAGCACAACGTAAGTTAACCTCTAATGTGTGGCCTCACTTCCACAGAGTTAGGATTAATGGGGTAATGAAAGCTAGGTGTAAGTACTGTCGTAAACCCCTTGGTGGGGAAACAAGTAATGAAACTTCACACCTGAGAAACCATATCAAAACATGTATCCAGAAGAGGATACATGATGGTTCTCAAAAAATACTTGGCCCCAACTATCAACCTGGTGGAAATCCTCAACTCTCTGCTTCTCAATACAATTATGAGGTTTCTAGGAAGGAACTTTGTTCTATGGTTCTGGTCCATGAGTACCCCCCTTAGCCTTGTTGATCATGTGGGTTTCAAACGTTTTTGCTGTTCTCTTCAACCTCAGTTTGCTGTCCCTAGTAGAAACACGGTGAAAAAGGATATTCTGGGTCTGTATGGGGTTGAGAGGTCTAAATATCAGACAATGATTGATGGAAATTTGGGCAGAATTTCAGTCACTACTGATTTGTGGACTGCCACAAATAAGAAAATGGGGTATATGGCAGTAACTGGTCATTTTATTGACAACTCTTGGAAGCTTCGTAACACAATGTTGAGGTTTATGTATGTTCCAACCCCTCACACTAGTCAAAGGCTAGCTGATAGGTTGTTTGATTCACTTCTTGATTGGAACATTGATGGTAAGTTGTCCTCAATCACACTGGACAACTGTACCACCAATGATTCAATGATATTTCATATGCGAAATAAGCTTGTGAGCAGTGATCTCTTGCTTGATGGTAAACTGATTCATATGAGGTGTTCAGCTCATATTCTGAACTTGATTGTGAGGGATTGTTTGGATGCAATCAAAGATGCTATACATTTGATTAGGGAGAGTGTAGTTTACTGGAATTCTACACCGAAGAGGGTTCAAACCTTCTTTGAAGTTGTTAAGCAACTAAAGTTGACATTTGAGCAAAAACTGGTACTTGATTGTCCAACTAGATGGAATTCCACATACCATATGCTCTCTGTTGCTCTTCAATATAAGGATGTTTTCTTTCGTTTGAGCTTGAGGGACAGTCAATACACATCTGTTCCTTCTAGTTCACATTGGGAATTTGCATCTGTTGTGATTGATAAGCTGGAAATATTTTCTTAGATAACTCAGTTATTCTCTGGTTCCAAGTATCCGACTGCCAATCTTTTCTTCTGCTAGTTCTGGATCTGTCTCGGCTACTGAACTTGGCTTTGAGCTCTTTGTAAGTCGAAGGAAAAAGAGCAAGAGTTCTTTGATTACTACTGAGTTGGATATGTATCTTTCCGAGGATATTATTCCTCGGACAACAGACTTTGATCTGCTCTTATGGTGGAAACTTAATGGTCTCAAGTATCCCACCTTGCAAGCAATTGCAAGGGACTTTCTGGCAATCCCAATTACATCTGTTGCTTCTGAAAGTGCATTTAGTTCTGGTGGGAGGTTGTTAGACCCTCACCGGAGCAGGCTTCATTATTCCACTGTTGAATCAATGATGTGCACACGAAGTTGGATTATGAAAGACATGCAACGAGGTAACATGCAACTAAATCTCTAAATTCTAGTACAACTAATTTTGTTTAAGTGTAACTAATATTTGTATACACTTTTCTGCAGATTCGGAGGCTGCTGCTGTGGAGGCATTGGAGGGAGTCTTCTCTTCTCAGCACTGTCAGTCGAAGATACTACTATAGAAGAGGCAGAACCTGGGGGTAAGAAAATTAGTGCATTTCTAATTTTGTTCATTGAGATTTGAGGTTGAACTAATGTGTTTTGCTTTCTGGTTTTTAGGTCCAGAAATGGTGTTCCTGAGATCACCATTTGGCCATGAAGACTGAACCATTCTCTACTGTCCAGTCAGGTTAATTACTTTAAAACTTCTTCTCTTTTGTTGCAAGAACATGGAGTTTGTTGGTGTTACACTGTTACTGGTTAGGCTTAGGGAGTTAAGTCTTTTTACTTGAATGTTGGTGCAGAATTTCAATTGA